GTAAGCACATGCAGGCTTGAAAGTGTGTCCCTGCCCTCAGAAGACGCATGCAGGCATGACCTGCTCTGAGACCCGCCACAGGTGCTCTTACACTGCCACATGCTCTGAGCAGCCACTCTAGTGAGGGATGACAGTCCATCCAGGCAAAGCAGTGGCCTGCTCAAGTCCCGGAAGGAGGTACACATGCTGCTCCTTGGAACCATGCCAGCAGGCTGTGGCCGATGAGAAAACAGAAGAGGACAGGCCAACCCGTCAGGAGAGTGCCAAGAGGGAGCCCCTGACAGCTTTGGTCTCCACATCTGAACAGCCACTCATACCTGCAGGTGCCCTGGGTGACACAGAGACAGTCAGGACACTGCAGACACTCAAGCTGGTTGGGCACAGTGTGGGCGGCAGGCTTCCAGGGGCTCTGTTGGGCTGCTGAGGGTCCAAGGGGATGCTTCCTTGAGCCAAATCCACCACGCGGAGGTCCGAGGGGGTACTGTGGTATATGCGGCCACCCCCACCACAGGCAGCACAGAGCACTGGCCCCGGGAGGAAGTACTCTTGAAGCTCTGGCACCAGATTCCCTGACTTGTCAAAGCTGGCCTTAATGGCCAGAGTCCTGCCATGGTGACCAAGGGCTACGAGGCAGTCAGAGTGGACCTCCATACTGGACAGCTCACTCTCCACAGCCTCCTCAGTCTGTGGCTCTGTCTTCAAAGCCCCAATGAAGACAACAGGCTCCTCTAGGTGATGGAGGATCCTGACAAGGGCCTTGGGGTCACCAGGGGCTGACCTAGAGGTGACCAAGGCCCTCAGGGCCACACAGCAGAGCTGGCCATCAGGAAGACCACAGAGGATCACAGGCGACTCCAAGAGGGTGGCATCAGCTCCAAAGAGTAGCCCAAAGAGGGCCCCCTCCAGTGTGAAGCCCCCACAGGCCTGGGGGTGACCATGTGGTGCTCTGGAGCCTGGCAGTGACATACAGCACAGCACTGGCAGGAAGTGGGGGGCTGTGGGCTTTCCTGGGATACCAATTTCGGGGGTATAGGTGGACAACTCCACCTCACCGATCTGGCCCCCAGGCTGGGGGTCTTCCCCTAAACAGGGGTGCTCAAACAGCTGCATCTTCCACTGGGTGGGGCCCTGCGCCAGGGCAACAAGCATGTCGTCCAGCACAGTGAATGCACAGAGTGTGGCATCGGGGAGGACGCAGGCATCCGGGTCCACGGGCATCACAGGGTAAGGGAGCTCATCCTCTTCACTGTCCTTGTTGGCCTGGCTCACAGACCTTCCGGGAACAATGGGACCAGTCAGGATGGACAGGGCAGACTGTTCACGAAAACCCGCCTGGGAACAGGCTGGGCAGGGGTCTCCACAGGGAGTGTCGAAGGGTCTCCACAGTGATGACTGTCAGCCCTTCAACAGGCCATTGGCCACTCAACCTCCCAACTCCCAGGGACGGCTCAGGACACATTTGACAGTTCAGATGGCTGCACAAGCTGCCTTGCTACCTCACACAGCAGCAGCCAGCACACCTGCTTCTCAGGGTCCGGGCCAGAGCCACCAGACCAACAGCAGGCCTGCTGGCCGGCTGCGGAGGTGCCTCCTGGACCCACTAGCTAAGGACTCCCTGCCAGCAGGAGCTCCTGGAGAACACGGCAGCACAGGTGCTGGGTGTGAGGGGCTGCACGCCCCGCACAGCCCTCCGTCTCCAGCGCAGCGATGGTGGGCCGTCCCTCTGGACCCATCCAGGAGTAAAGTCCGTGCAGATCACAGGGGAATGTGTGAACAAGTAGATACCGTGCAGGCCACGGTGGCCCCACGGCGGATAGGGACGCACAGGGCCACGCCCACCCCTCACCTGCTGGGGGTGTCCAGCGACAGGCAGTAGATGCCCCTCCGGGCGCACAGGACGTAGAGCGCCCTGCGAGGGGCCAGCAGCTGCAGGTGCCATACCTGGTCCGGGAACCGGTACACCGCCTGGACGCCAGGGGAGTGTGGTCAGGCCAGGAGCACGCCTGGCGGGGTCTCGCTGCTGAGCGGACCCGAGCCCCGCCCGCCGCCCGCCCGCCCGCCCGCCCGCGGCCCGGCGCTCACGGTCAGCAGCCCGCCCTCCTGGTCGTACACGTAGACGAACTCGCTCCCGGTGGACAGAAAGACGTCCGCCTCGTGGCACAGCACGCGGGGTTTTCCCGCCGCCAGGCCGCCCAGCGGGCAGCTGAAGCCCGCCAGGTAGTGGACGCGGGGCGTACCGCCAGCCATTGTTCGAGCGGGCGGGCGGCCAGCGCGGAGCCCGGCGGGGGCGGTGCCGCCTGGGGGCGCTTTACGGCCGCCCACGGCATGGCGCGGCCTCCGCCGTAAAGCGGCATTGCGGGGGCGGGGCCGGCCCGGAGGCGGGCCYGCTGCGGGGGCGGGGCCGGCCCGGAGGCGGGCCTGCTGCGGGGGCGGGGCCGGCCCGGAGGCGGGCCTGCTGCGGGGGCGGGGCCGGCCCGGAGGCGGGCCTGCTGCGGGGGCGGGGCCGGGCTGCGCGCTGCGGGGAGCTCCTGGAGAGCTGGGGCCCTTCCGACGCGCCGCGCCGCGCCGCGGAGTGGCCACTGCCCGCTCTCCAGCGCGCAGTGTCAACGGGCTTTGGAATCTCTAGGACTTGGGCGGCAACGAGGAGTCCTGCAAGCGAGAGGGTGGGATCAGCGCCACCTCTCGCCACGACCCCGGCGCCCTCTGTCAGGGGCTGGGTCTCTTCCCTCTGCTCATTGAGCAGCACCACGCAGGACCCCGTTCTCAGGACTCTAGGGGCTTTGAGCCAGACAAGCGCAACGCTTGAACACGTGGGGACGTAGGTAAGCCAAAGGGATTTCTGAGTTAGGGTCAGAGCACCGCAAAGGAAATGACCCGCTGAGATTGGGGGAGGAAGCAAGGGGGAGGCCAGGGGACATCTTCATTTTCCCTCCTGGCAGTTCTTTCCACTTGCTCCAGAAGAGAGCAGCTCTACACGAATCCCCCAAGTGAAAGACCAGGATCCTCTACCTGAAACCAGGCAGAGACTGGGCTTCCCCCTACTCAAGAGGCTGAGGCAGGAGTTTGGGGTCCAGACTTAGCAGCACAGCAAGACCATAGCTCTTGTTAAATAATAATAGTAGTAGTAGTAGTTACTATTATTTCATCAGAAAGGTCTCAAGGCCAGGCACTAGGAAGTAAAGGAGCCATCTGGGGCACAGCAGGCCTGACATGTAAAAGGTCCAGCTGGAGAATGTCCAGAATGTGTGCCAGGCTGGAACATGACCCAGTCCCGGTGTACCTGCCAACATGACCAGTGGCCAGTCCAGACCCCCCCAGTGAGTAGGGGGTGGGCTAGCTCCCAGTGTATCTGTGCCAGGTGCTAACCAGGTGAGGGTTCTCAGCTCACTCTGCATTCCTGGGCTGGTCTGATGGCGTTTTGCCTTGTTGAGGGGAAGGATGGGGGTGGGGTAGAGTGAGAGCACTCCACAGCAGCCTGTCACTCTGAATTTCACCCAGAGCACACAAGTATCCCTTGGGGGGTCTTCTGATCACCAGGTCTAACCTTCCAAGCCTGACACTGGTTCTTGTCAGTCACCAGCTCACACGCCTCAGGATAACCAGGTGGCTTCCAAAATAGGAGAAAACACGCCAATAGAGAGGGTGGGGAGGAAGTGGATATGGGAGGTGGGCGAGCCAGCAGGCCTCATGGTATGTCACTCCCCTGGCTTGGGGGCTGGCCAGATCCTGGCTCCCTCCAGTCTAAATAGAGAGTAGACCTGAGCACTGGGTGCCTGGGGTGAGAAAGGCATGAGGGAAGGGCCCAAGGCCATGCCCTAGCCGGGGCTCTGCCAGGGGTGTGGAAGGTGCACACACCCCTTACTGCAGAGCCTGTCACTGGAGGTCAGTGACCCTGCCAAACTGGGGCACTGTGGCCTCACAAAGGCCAAGCACAATGGAGCTCAAGAATTACAGGGGCAGATGTGGGAAGAGAAACCATGGTGTGTGGAAGCTGCAGATTATGGCAGAGGTGCAAAAACCTGCAGGGTGGGGACCAGGACTTTGGGTGCCAGAGTCCCCAGTTCTACTTCCAAGCAGTTCAATCTCACTTCTTTAGGTGAGGATAGGGAGGAAGGCGCCTCCCAGAGCCTCCTGGCCTGCAGCACCTGGAGGACAAAGGCATCTGGACTTCCAGTCCCTCTTACTCGGGCTTTCATAGGCCCTGTGTGAAGGCCAGCTGCTGGGTCATACTGAACAGCCCAAGCCCTACCGAGGGCTGAGCGTGGCAGCTCCAGCAACACCAGGGAGCTGTGGATGATGAGCACTCAGCACCACTCAGCTGCTCAAAGGCAGCTGGGTCACCTACTGGGAGCAGCCCTTTCAGACACAGCTATTTTTTTTTAAATATTTTTTTAATGTCGATGGACCTTTATTTTACTCATTTATTTTTATGTGGTGCAGAGAATCAAACCCAGTGCCTCACACATGTGAGGCAAGCACTCTACCACTGAGCCACAACCCCAGCCCCTACAGCTGCTGTGTTTTAGTGGCTTCCCAGGGTGTAGATGAGTCCCTGCCTTGAGGACTGAGTGGTGCTGAGCTGTGGAAGCAGGCTGATACCGAAGTCAGGAGCAAGCCAGACCTCTCTGGCTGTCCCTGGGAGACAGCAGTAAGCTCCAGCCCTGCTCCTCACTGCACCTGTGCAGTTAGGTTGCCTGGACACTTTCACCTGCTGCTTGGCCTCATCTGCCTGTCCAGGATGTACAGACTCACAGGCAGAAAAGGCATCTCAGGGAGGCCGGACAGCTCCCTTCCACCCATATACGAACTTGGAAGAACAGTGCCCGGGAGCCCTGCAGCAGAGCAATGGGCCAGGGAAATTGGGTCCCAGCTTGAAATGGCCCAAACACATCAATGAGAGTCCTGGGGGCAAGTCATCTAATCACCTTACCCAGATTAGACACCAGACAGGGCCTGTGGACAACTTTCAGCGCACAGGAAGGACACGCTGGGAGCGGGCAGTCGCTTCAGGCGCTTTTTATTAGGTTCCACTGCAGGGCTGGGGTCAGGGTAATGCTAGTCCAAACCCAGGTGATGCACACCTGTGAGCCCAAAGCAGAGCACCTATGTCCCAGGAACAGACTGGCTGGGGGCGGGCTGGGTAGGCAGGACCGACCAGGGCCAAGAGGGCGGGCTGGGTAGGCAGGTCCGCCTGGGAAGGTGTGTGCTCAGGCACCCCTCTGGAATGTGGTGCCTGGTGACATGAGGGGATGTCCACAGGAATGCAAGATGGGCGGGGGTCACTCCTGAGCAGGAGGTGGTGCCTGGGCCTCCCAGGCCTGTGCTCTCAGCAGGGCTCACCCCAAGCCAGCAGCATGAGCTTGACTCTCTTTGGACGATAAAATAAAGTGCATTATTGAACAGAGTAACTCAAAACCATAAGCAGCGAAATCACAACACTTTCTTTAGCTAAAAGACAAAAAGAAAACATGGACTGCATGGATGCCAGAACTGCAGAGTGAGAAAAACTATTGGTTGAGAAAAGGAAATTAGCTTGGTGGATAAAGACGAGAGCAAGTGGAGAGGAACACAGGTGTTGGGGCAGTGAGTCTCCACAAGTCTGTGCTGTCCAGTACCTGCCCAGGCTGGGCAACAGCACTGGTGTGAATGGCCCTGGAGACAGGTAAGCAGCCAGCCAGGCCATTTGGCTATACAGCTGACCTCAGGGACCAGGTAAGACAGGGAAGACAAAGCCCCAGCCAAGACAGCTCCTAGGAGGCAGACCAGATGACCCTCCACACCTCCATAATGTGTGGCAGATGGGGGGAGACTGCTTGCTTTACAGGCCTGCTGTAGCCAGGCCAACCTAATGGGCTTGTGGCTCCAGGATCAGAAGAAACCTGGGCCTTCCAGGGGGGATGCCATGCCAGGTATACCTGAGGGTTCTGGCCACAGCCCTACCATGAGAGAGCCCAGCAGGCAAGCATTCTGTCTACATGGCCAAGCATGGGGAGGGCTGTGTAGGTGCGTCCCTCTAGGCAACAGACACACAAGCCTCCAGGAAGTCTGGCTGGGCCGGCCTTTCCCTGGGTGCAGCACAGCTAATTTGGCTCTTGTTAAGGCAAAGAGGCATCAAGACGCCCTCGGCTCGCCTGGGGTAGGCCTGTGCCCCAGTCCTATTGTGGAGGACACTTAGAGACCATTAGGACTCTTGTGGATTGCCTGGTCCTTACACTGGGTGCATGCTATCAACTTTCCAGGCTCCACAGAGGTCCTGTTTCAATGGCCAAAGCACTATTCCAGACCAAGGCCTGGCAAGGCTATGGATAGAGGAATGGTGCTGTGGGTAGAGGAATCGGGGCCCTGGTGTTCACCCATCCGGGCTATCTAGAGGGACTGCCCACCAGGCAAGGGCCACCACTCTCCTCCTGCTCAGCTGCCCATATCGCCAGCTGCCACAGCTGTGTGACTTGGTAGAAAAGTCTCAGGCACTGAGGTTTGCTTCATAGGAGGACTGTCAGTGGGACCCGTCCACTACCACCTGAACTCCCAGGAGGGGCTGCGCTGAAGGAGGGAAGGAAGTGGAAACTAGTCTCTCTCATATCCCTGTTGTGCAGTTTTATCTTAAAAACAATAAATAAAAGTCTTCTGGGAAGGAATTGCTGAAAACTGTTATTGCAACCAGCACAGACTCTAAACTTCCACCTGGTACGAGATGAGAAAGCGCACTAGGCTGCAGGCTGAGCAGGAGGCTGTGGCCGGCACAGGCAGGACCTCTGCTCCAGAGCAACAGAACAGAGGTAGCCAGGCACTCCCAACCAAAAAAAAAAAAAAAATCAAGCGGGGACAGAACAGAAAGCATCGAAGAGGAAGGAAAAGAAAGCTGGGTGGCAGCAGCAACCCTCCCTGCACCACCGATTTCAAGTGATTATTTGGAGGTGCCCAATCCTTCCACGGCRGGGGGCTGTTGACGGGTGAGGCGTGCGTGGTGTTCTCAGGCAGGGACACTGTTTCCAGTCGGCTTTTACTCAGCCCTAGCACATTAGCTGAGCTCCCTCTCTGGGATTGGTGCCAAGAAGCTTCCCTGGGTGCCAGGGTGGTGGGCCCCACCCCTCAGGGCTGCCAGCTCTGAGCCTTGCGGGGCACACCTTGAGCTCCTGGCTTTGGAGGGCTAGGCTGGCCCAGTCCCACCCAGCAGAGGGCCGGAGCCCTAGGTCCTGGGGAGGCTGCACATCTCGCAGTGGCCAGTTCCTGGCTGGTTCATGAAGGTGCAGTGCTGACAGGCCCACATGGCAGAGGTGGCGGCATGTGCAGAACCTCCAACGGCACCATACTCATGGAGGCCCGGGAGCTGCACACCAACGGTACCTGTAGGTGGGAAGAGAAGCAAGCACTCAGCACTTCTGCAGAATGGGTACTCTGCCTGGCCTGAGCTCTATACTGTGGGCAGGGTAGTTTGAACATGCCTACTCCTTGCACCAAGGCTGCCATCCTGCAACTATGGTGCACACAGCCAGCAAACACCTGCCCTTCTCTGCACCTGTGGGTATGGTTTCTTTCTGTTGCTGAAAAGCACTCCTCTGTGAGGACCATCATGCCCACTGTAGACATCTGGGTGGTGTCCAGTTCCAAGTTGTTAGGACAAAGCTACCATGAGCATCCTGCTCTGTTATAGACCTGTTTTCGCCTTTCCTGGCAAAAGCCTAGCTGAGGAAAGGCTGGTCAAGGGTGAGTGCATGTTGGGCTTCCCAGGACTTGCACCTGGATCTACTTTTTTTTGGGGGGTAAGGGTATGGGGGAGTGAACCCAGAGACACTGAACACATCTCCCCAGTACTTTTTATTTTTTTTAATAACTTTTAAAAATATATTTTTAGTTGTATGTAGACACAATATCTTTATTTTTATGTGGTGCTGAGGATCAAATCAGTGCCTCACATCTGCTAGGCAAGCGCTCTACCACTGAGCCACAACCCCAGCCCTTCATTTTATTTTTTAAGACAGAGTCTCACTAAGTTGCTGAGACTGTCCCAGAACTTGGAAATCCTCCTATTGACCTCCCAAGTTGCTGGGATCACGTTGTGCGCCCCTGAGCCCGCCTGGTATCTCATGTTTTGTGAAGCTCTTGTGAATGTACACTATCATTCCATTACCAGTCCTAGACACAGGATTGGACAATCACATACTCAACTTTTTTAGGAGAGTGAGTACTGAACACAAGGAGCTCTAGGGCACAAGCTGGTCCAGGTAATGAATCCAGACCCTGTCACCTGCTGCTGCGGGAGTTGGGTTTCTTTTTATACCATCGAAGTATGAGGGGTATTGCCAAGTGTCCCATAAGGACGGCAAGGACATGTTAGATGTTCAGACAGATCTTTTCCAAATGGAGGCTCCTGGGACACCTATAGCTGGGTGCATCTGCTATACACACCTGGGGTCTGACCTGGACAACATTATGTTACTACATCAATGAACACAGCCATGTGTCTGTCCCTTATACCACAACCCGCAGTGTGCACCCAGGGCCACAAGCCCAGGGCTTAAGGGTAGAGCGTAGGACACTTACTGCAAAGTTGCTCAATAGTGGCCCACTGCTCGGACTTCTTCCACGTCTGTGCCAGCTCCTCATTCCTGGTCCTCACCGCCTCCAGCAGAAGGCTGATGCTGTCCTGCAAAAAGCCAAAGGAAGGTCCACCTTGCTCTGCAATGGGGTCACACTCTCGCTAACAGGTTTCTCTAACATAAACACAACATTTCAGAGGGAATTTTTAAAAATCACATAGACGATCACTATGAAACACAGACTGCTGCTCAGGTCTATAAATCCATGTGCTAAAGTAAGCTAGAACTCACGTCTTCCCAAAGCGCCCCTTGGGGCTCCTGTGCTCCCTCGGCCATGGGCTGACAGCCCAGATGACAGAAACTCCTGTCCCTGGTCCTAGACTGGGACCAGTCCTCCTCTCTTCTCCATCTGTCTGGAAACTGCGTGCTATATCCTAGGTTTCCAGGGTCAGCACACAGAGAGTTAAAGTAGCTGCTGTGGTGAGAGGTTGATAAAGCCTTTAAGGGCTCTCAGTACCTCCAGAGTCAACTTCAAAACAGTTTACAAGCAGGGTGGCCCAATACAGAGGGAGCCTCACCTGTCACCCCTGGTCTCAGAAGGCAGGGCTGACCCTGAGAGAAGAGGTACAGTGGGATTCTGAGAGGGGAAGGGACAGTGGGAAGACACACAAGATAAATGGGGCAGCATGTAACAACAGCTAAGGCTGACCGCCAAAGACAAGCCCTGGGAAGGAGAGCGCCACTGTCCCGGTGGGGAAGGTGCCGAGTCAGCGCTACTGAGCTCAGAAAGATCCCTCCCTCCTTCCTTGTGTTCCTGGGGGTCTCAGGCAGAGAAGAAAAGGTCACAGGAGGCCAAAATGTGTGGCACATGCTGAGGCCTCTGGCAGGACTTGCTGCCCACCCCTTTGGGAGCACTGCTGTCTGCTCAACATCTACCTCCTCTTTGGCAGGGCTTGGGAGCTGGCCAGCCTTCTGGGCCAAGGCAACAAGCCGGCGTTGACTCAGGAGGCAGGGAGGGATCTGTAACGAGCAGGCTGAGATTCTAAAGCTACGGGACTGAGGGCTGCCTCAACCATGGTACCCCCAGGACCGTAGGCCAGAGGACAGAACATATTCACCTTGCTCTCCAAGTGGTCACAGCCAACAAAATTCCCAGGGGGAGATGACCCTGCACATCAAGCTTTGCCCCAAATCCCCCACTCTCTGGCTTGAGGAAGGAAAGTGGGACGAGGGACGTCTCTTGAGTAAGCCCTACCTGTAGAGGCATGACTTCATTGGTGACCAGAAACAGCAGCAGGTGGAAATCCGAGATGGTGTCCAAGAACACAGATGAAGTGTTCTGGGACAAATAGGTGGCCAGACTGTGGAAGTCCTAGACCGAGAGTGATGGAGAGAAGGGAAGATGCAGGGATCTCATGACAGTCCTCACATCCAGAGCGGGGAGGAACCAGCCCCACTCCCAACCMCCGCACACACTGAGACATCCCACCTCTCTTCCAGAACTACTGAGAGGGCACAAAGGGACACAGACAGCTGCAGGTGAGCACCTGACCCTCCTGCCCAGGGGAAGCTCTTGGCACACCTGACTGTCCGTGGTGTGAGGAGGTATGTAGACTGTCCAAGCAAGGACACACAGATGGACAGATGGAATCCATCCCTCTACCTCAGGGTGAAAGAGGGCTGAGGGAAGGCCCACTGGGGTAGGCAGGAGACCATATGGCCCTTTCTGTCTGGCAGCACCCCTAAGCTGGACCAGCAGAGTAAGGAAGAGAAATGAGGAGGGCAGCAGGACAGAATGGGAGCCTGAGAAGACAGCCCGGAAACCAGCTCTGCGCCCCGACATGCATCCCATGTCGGTTCCTGGGGCAGATGGACAATAAGCAACCACAGTATCAGAAGCAGCTTTGCCAAAGAAGCCCCCTTAAAAGAAAACTTTGGTACAGATACTCCCCCTGTGCAGGTGGCGGGAGCAGAGGGCCAGCATGACACAAGCAACATGCCAGGCCCCAGTGCGACCCACCCAGCCCTGACGGAGCCTGAGGAATGTGTCGGGGCTGGGGACAGACAGATCAGCAGGGAAGCAGACCACTTCCACTGTTTGGCTCTGTAACCCACAAACCAGAGGAAGCTGTTAGCAGAGGACACAACGTGACAAGACTGAGAAGGTGTTCCTGGCAAGTCCGTAGGCCCAGGATTCAAGGCTAACTAGCACCTTGCTAGAGCGAGCGCCCTGACCTCTGTGTCCAACACAGGGCCTGATACAGGACACAGGAAGAAGCTGCAAGCACAGCACACTCCAGTAAAGCAAGACTGTCGCTGGACAAACAGGTCACTAAATGCAGCTTCTGAGACAATGAGCTTACCTGTGTCTCACCCAGCACATCCCGGTTTTCAATAGGAAATGGATTTTGTGAAATAGAAAAAGTGTAAACTGGATCCTTGGGGAAGGTTGTTGTGATCTAATGAACAAAAACACAAACTGTGATGAACTGTGCTAAAGATGGTGCGAACCTCCAACCAGTTCCAGCCCTCAGCACGTTCCACACACTGCTCCCCAGGGTCCTGCAAGCTTCGTACTGAGGGAAAGTTCACTGTTGGCGTCTGTGCTTCTTGGGAAATCTGAAAACTGGCACTGGGGAATCAAGAGAAGCACACATTTAAAGTGCACACATCTGGGCAGTGCCTGTCTCTGTGGCACAGACACCTAACTGCTGCACCAAGACTGGTCAGACTCCTGCTGCTACGCGTGCTCTGCCCTGGTCCAGGGTAACAGAACTCAGCAGAGAAAGAGCAGAAGGCTGTCTCAGGAGTTGCAAACTTTACTTATCGGACCTGGAGGCTTGTGTTGGGTCAACCAGTGCTGGGACTGAGAAAATGACCTCCTGATAACAGCCCACTGGGAAGCCAGCCTAAAGAGCCCATGGGCTTTCCAGGCAGGTGAGAATCACAGCCCCCCTCTCCCCTGGAGATGAGCTGGCTGGAGTGGAGAGCTTCCACTAAAGGTAAGCCAAGTCTTCCATTTGGTTCTGACATCCCTTAGGAATAGCAGAGGGCATCTGAATCAGTAGAAGCCAGGTACAGTGGTGACTGTGCAGAAGCTGAGGTGGACATAGGCGTCACTCCCACTAGCAAATGCCCTCCCTGGGAGAGCATCCAGTGTGAGTAATAACTCTCCTCTGGCTGATGCAGTTCCCTCTGCACGTGACTCTAGCAGCACTGGGCCAACACCTTCCAGATCCAGGGTAGCTATTCTGGCTCCTGGAGGACTACTTCTACAGAATAAAAACATTGCTCTCTTCTGTTTTCTGGCATCAGCAAAGGCAGGGAGCTGTTTCTGGTTTGGCTGTACCAGCATCCGCACTCTGGAAGGCAGGCTGAGCCACTGGTAGTGCCCTAACCCAAGCTGGCCGGTCCTTGCAGACAAGCTTGTGCAGACAAGCTTGTGCAGCAAGGGCCACAGTGACACGTGCTCCTCTGGGAGGCAGAGATGAGGGGAGGAGCACTCAGCCCTAGCTGCAATCAGCTCTAAGAGTGGGCAGTGTCCACGCTGCGAGACAATAGCCTGGACCACTCGGGTCCCTCCTTTTGGGAAGGCAGCAGCAAGAGTGGAGAGGGACTGAAGAGCACCCGCCACTGAATAAACTAGTACATCAAGAGAGGCTAGGTGCCAGCCTTGTGAGTGGCCCTTGCACAGTGACAGGACCAAAGTCTACTCAGCCCTGTGTGACCATCCCACATCCCACCCTGTCCTGTGCTAAAGCCCTCTCCCTTCCCAGACCGTTGTGGAGTCATCAATTGGACAATGTCTGATACCTGCACAGAGGCCCAGAAAGTGCTGGCTCTCACTTTCCCTGCCTGCAACAGCTGCCCCTTGCTTGGGTTCAAGAACAGCATCCAGGGCCTACGGACCTGCCCAGGAGCCACATGTACTTTTATGGGCACCAGTTCTCAAGGGATTCCAAGTCTCATTTCCCCAGGGACAGAGGACTTAGAGGTCACAGGGCAGCATGCTCCACAGCAACTAAGCGGTGCTAGAAGAGAACACACTGGCAAGTCTTTAACTTCCTATGTGAAAGGAAAGCAGGGTGGAGAGGTGTGGCAAGGGAGAAAGCCTTAGGAAGAAGTACTAAATCATGCCAACTCCTCCTAACAGTATGTGCCATCAATCTGTTTTCATCTTAATTATACCCCAGGTAGCCTAAAAAACAGATGCCTTTATGGCCTGAGTAATAAATATGTTCTCGAGAGCTGTCAATGGAATGGAACATCAATGGGTTTGGCTCAGGGGACCCTCTGCTTCAAATGCAATGATGTTTTACTGCCTGACTTACATGCCCATCCCAAATCCAATGCAGCCCGCATAGATCCTGGTACAGCAGCAGCTTAGCCCCCACACCATCCCCCCAGACAGAGCTCTGGCAGGCAGCCAGGTGCTCAAACATGGGCTTTGCTCTGTGGCACTTGCTGCCCTGTGGCTGATGGCATAGCCATCTCTGTGACCACGTGATGCCTCCAGAGAGAAGGAGGGGCTCTGGGAAGATGCAGTAGAGCCAGCCTCCCTTGGCTTCTGCAATCCCTCCCAGGAAACCATTATGACCCTCTCTGCTCAAGAACATTCAGTCACAGGTGTTCGTAAAACCAGTTTGGAGGGGCTGGGGTCATGGCTCAGTGGCGCTTGCACTGGGTTCAATTCTCAGCACGACATGTAAACAAATAAATAAATAAAGGTCCATCAATAACTAATAAAAATTAAGACAAAAACAAAAAAGGCTTGGAAAGATCAGCCCCCAGGGCACTGCGCCTATGGCAGTGTGATCCCACCAGGGCAGCACCTGCACATGCTGCAGAGCAGGCAACCACCAGCCATGCAGCATCTGTGGCGATACTGGACTAGGCCTTTTAGTGGACCCTGGGCCTGGGGTAGGGGGTGGGAGGTCCTTTGAACTATGGTACCCAGAAAGTTAACTAGGTTGTTTTCAAGGACATAAAAAACCTGAAACAACAACAAAAAAAGTCCTTAAAATTGTGAATGTCCAAGGAACCCTGGGGGCTCAAGGATAGAACAGACATCCCCAGCACTACAGGGCAGAGCGTGTGGCTGGGCCCTCCCCTTCCCCAGAGTCCTGACCTCCTGGGCGCCAGCAGGGTCACCGTGCAGGACCAGTGGGGAGGACTTACGTCTATGATCAGATACTCCACAGGCAGGGGGCGGGCCAGCTGGGTGATCTCGTTGCCAAACTTGTCGATGTCCTGCAATAGTCAAAGGTGCGTGGCTACTGAGTGAAGGTGACAGCGACAGTGCTCCTTCAAAAACATCTCTCACCTTTTAAACCACCTGACTCTTGCTGAAGTGCATGAAAAGCAGATGGCAAACAGTCATGCCGTGGCTGCTGCTGCTCCTGGCACTGAGATAGAGTGCTCTTTGCCAGGACCTGAGGTCAGCTACGCTTCTGGCCACAGGCACCTCCACAGGAGAGCACGTGGCCCACTCCCTCTGCAGGGCTCAGCCTAGCACCAGGCCCAGCTGAGAGATGGTGGCAGCAGGCTGACCTGTGCATTCCACCCTCTAAACCACAGTCACACAATCTGAAGGCCAACTCAAAATTTTTACTCATGCCTCTGAAAACCAGAATCTGTGGAAACTGAGTACCCACACGTTAATAAAACATAAGCATGCACAAATGAGTACACATACACAGAATATGCAGATGTGGAAGACCCCCGCCACCTACCTGTCAAAGTAGGTGTTTTGCTTTGTCAGATGAGCAGGACATAAAGTTTAATTATGGGGAAAAATGGCCAGCATATGTTCATTAATCATAAGATGACAACTAGATATGATTTATGTCAGACATGCTGAGCTCCAACAGAGCTCTCCAAGTACATTCCCCATGCTTTCTATTATAGATTTTATAAGAAGATCATATTTTCATTCTAAATCATCACTTAATGTTATGCAAATCACTCATTGAGCCATATATAAATTATACATCCATAATTTTCAATCGTGGGTTTTACATAAAAGTCTACATCTATGGAGGCTCTCAGACATAATCTGGTTGCCAAGGTGCATCCTCAAGTGGTGATATGTCCCCAAGGTATGCTGTGAAGTCACTACTAGCACATGTGCACGTTCTGGGGACATGGAGAACTGTGCTGTCTTTAGACAATCATCACAAGCTGTTCTTCAGTCAAACCAAGCTCATCTCCCTAACAGGATGTCACTGCCCAAATGACCCCRTTCCTTGTGTGCCGCTGAAGGACTTGCCCTTCCCCTCCAGAGCAAGGGGCCAAACACTTCTAACCAGTCTGCTACTGAGGAAGCATTAGCCCAACTCCATTCCGCACTTTCTGAGTAGGCTGTTCCCTACCCTGACAAATGCCACCTTCCTGCAAACACTGCTGTGTTCTGCGAGTCCCCTGAAGCTGAAGCACCCACCAACCTGGGGAAGGACCCCTTGCCCCTCCCCACATGGCAGCTGTGCAGTTGAGGCAGCCTACCACTATGACAGGCCCCAAAAGTGTGGGCCTGAGGAGTGGGATCCTATGCCCATGCAGAGGCAGGAATCATGTCCAATCAAACTAAATTATGATTTCCAAAAATACATGCTTGCCCCTACAAGAAATAATCTGAACAACTCACACATAATTAGTCCATTTGGAATTCATCTTCAAATCTAATTAAACGATAATATGCAGAAACATTTTTGCAGCACCTGTTCACTTGAATCTCCCCTCTAGGGAATGCTCTTGTTAAATGCCCTCTCTTTTTTGTGTGTCATGCTAATTCTCATTCAAATTTAACTACCCAGGGCTGGGAATGTGGCTCAGGCGGTAGCGCGCTCCTCTGGCATGCCTGCGGCCCGGGTTCGATCCTCAGCACCACATACCAACAAATTTAACTACCCAACTGTACCTTTTTCCCCCTAAGAAAATAAAGCTACTGTATCTATCTCCCTTTCTTCCCTGGGGAAAAACAGGTAACTTCTATCTTCCCCAAGTCTTCACTCAAATGTTTCTTCCAGACAATCACTAGCCCTACACACTACTCTTGATGGCAATCACTTTTTATGGTGTTAGCAAATATCAGGAAACATATGAGGAGGAAGCCATCTTGATTCTGAGTCTAGTAGCTGCCAAAGTGTCAGTAGTTCAGATTCCACCTGGAGCAAGACACGAGGCAAGTCAGAAATCGTGGCTCCTTGCTGCTTCACCACCAGCCTCACACCATGTCTGGAAGCAGGGCTACGTGAGCCCAAGGCACCTGGGCGTTGTGGGCCTCCCCTTAGAGGATATGGCAAAGCCCCCAGTGTGAGGCTTCTCTGCTAAGAACAAGGCAGAAGGGGACAAGTGGAATCAGCCCTTGAACTGGAAATTCTCAGCATAGGTGTCACGAGTCACATGGAAGCAACAGCTGGAGTTTCTCAGGCACTCACCATGCCTGCTCCAGTCTGGATGCCATGTGCACAGGCCCACCTGGCCCTCACAACTGCAGGCATCACAGGCACAGCCACTGTGCCTAGCAAATCCTGAGGATCGAGGGGCTAGTCATACCCAAGACCTGGCAGCCAGCAGAGCAAGAGGAAAGCTCCAGAGCAAGTTCATTCACACTGATAGTCAGGCCTCTCAGCCACACCCCTCTCCGTTCCTCACCCAACTCTGGTGCTTTAAGGGCTCTACCACCAAGCCACATTCCCAGCTATTATTATTTATTTCTTTCTAAATTTTGAGACACAGTCTCACTAAGTTGCCTAGACCGGCCATGAATTTGTGATCCTCCTGTCTCAGTCTCTCAAGCAACTGGGATTACTACCCAGTTCCAAGGCCAAAATGATGATGAAAAGATTAAGGTATTTTTTTTTTCTTTAAAGAGAGAGATTTTTTTAATATTTATTTTTTAGTTATTGGCAGACACAACATCTTTGTTTGTATGTGGTGCTGAGGATCGAACCCAGGCTGCACGCACGCCAGGCGAGCACGCTACCGCTTGAGCCACATCCCCAGCCCAGATTAAGGTATTTTTGAAGTCAAACAATATTTCAGCTCCTCTAAATATAAAATATGAAGAACATAAAAACCTGGCATGTGTTTGTGACATATGACAAACAGTCAATACACAGAGACCTCACAAATTAATGCAAAAAATGATGAATCATCTTAAAAGTACCTAGCACAGGAAGAGGAGGCTCGCAATGAAAACAGCTAGCGAACACTGGACTCCCTGAGAGTAAGCCAGCAGAGACTACAAGCTAACGTGCAAGGCCTTGCCTGACAGGCAGCCCGGCCAGAACAGGTAAAGCGCTACCTTCCTGAAGGAAATCTCAAGAGAATGCACAGAACCGTTTTAATAAATGGTGGCATCTGACAAAGTAACATCAGCTCCAGGAATTTGTCCCAAGAAGTTAGGAGCACATACAAATAACCAGTTTAGGACAGTTCATCAGACACTGTTCCCAGCAGATGCTACATCAACCTGCATCCTGCTGAGAAGCTGCTGCCAGCCTGAGGACATCCCCTTTCACAGAAAGAACAATGTCCTCCCATAACACATGGAACTTCAGCACAGCGTGGTCCTTGCCCAAGCTGCTGGTCAGCCCAGCTTTCAGGGCTCCTGACCTTAGCACTGTCCCCTCCTACTGGGAAATCACCTTTGGCCCTTCTGCGGCTGGCCCTTGYTGGGCAGCATTCTCAGGGGTGGCTGACATGCTGTCTCCTTCACCTCAAAGATTCTAGCCTTTGATCTGGACATTTTATGAAGACAGCCATGAGATTGGCATCACTGACCCACATCTCTTGCCTAAGCTTCCAGGTCTCCGTGACAATTGCCCATGGACTACCACCCTGTCACTAATGTTGTCACTTGGACTCACCTTCCTCCCACAGACCCAGTACTGTGCTCTGTGGGCACCACGATCCACCTGTTCACTCAGAGACACTCACCAGAATGCTCCTGCACCCCTGCCAACCTCTGCATCCCTGAAGGTCATAGGAACAAGGGAGCAGGAGCCTTTCCATCATGACCCAACTCCACCTTGCATCCAGAAGACGTCAGCACCTGTCCAGTGCATCTTATAACTGGATGTGGGTTCCACCCATCCCACCCCTCTAACCTCCTACCCCTCCTGACTCAGGCCATAGCATTGATGCCTGAACGATCACCACCTCCTTCAGACCACTCCTCACATTACATCCAGAAGGAATGCTCCAGAACTCACCCCCCACCCTCTTTCCCCAGCTTCCTTGCCTGCCGTGCCCACTACCACCTGTACTCTGACTTGACTGGCACACATTCTGTCCCCCAGAAGCCTGGCCCATGTGGAACCTAGGCCACAAACACAGGGGTAGGCAGCAAGTGATGGCCACCTGAGGGCAGAAGAGGGGTGCTCCAGGCCGTCTTCTGGGGCTCCAACCCTTACTTTTCATAACAAGCTGATGTAAACAGAAGTGTTCCTCATGTTCATTTTTAAGACTGGTGCTGACTGATGCACTTGAGTCTGAATCCAAGACTATATGTCTTCTGCTGCCAGCCTCCTCCCTCCACCTCGATGTTCCATGGGCAGGTTCTTGGTCTACGAGCCTCTATCTGAGGTTCACTCTCACCACCCATGAGCCAGCAGAACCTCCAAGCATCCTGCACCATATCCTCTTCCACCAACTCCCAGCCCACACCTGCCTCCTCTCCCACCCCCACCTGTCCAGACGTGCTCCAGAGCTTGTGAGTAGTGCCATCCTGCACACTCCTTCCTCTCCATATCTACTCGCCCCTCTCTCTGGGGCCAAGAGCAACAGTATGGACACAAAAAACTCCAAGCAGGAAAGCTGGATCCCATTCGCCACTGATGCTATGTGCTGTTCCACCTTGCTTAATTTTAGTTTGTGCCAACAAAGCAAGCCCCAACCTGCCTCTGACCCAGCTCAGAGCTGCTCCTGGAGGCAATAGCCCTATGTTGCTGAATGCAACCACAACAGTACAGCCCTTTTCCCAACTCCTCCGTCCTCCTGGCTATTCGCCCCACTCTCCCTTCCCATACAGCGAGCTCCCCTCCCCTTCTCTGCAGCCCACCCTACCTTCACTTTCTTTGACAACCACAATTGCACCACTGGCCTTGAGCACCAACTCAGCAGCCTGCCTCCAAGTGCACAGCTTTAGTGGCCCCCTCTCCTGAGCAATACACTCAGCAGCTGCACACCACTAAAGCCACCTGAGGGCAGGCTGTCTTCCAGCTGCTTGTCCCAAACACCTCAGAGCC